CCTGCCAGTGGGGAAAAGAGCCAAGGACTCTGTTCTCGGGCCTCAGGCAGTGCTTCTGGATTCTACAGTGTACTGTAGGTACTCCAGAAGATACATTTTTGCAAGTAACTAAAATGCTATGTTTATAGTAAAAATCTCTCCTGATATCTTTCCACCTCCCATCTTTGTAAAGCCCAGACCCATGCAGAAGACAGCACTGTTAAAAGGCTTCCAAAGGGCCAGAGAGATAGCTCAGTGGATTAAAGCTCCTGCTTTGGCAAGCTCAGGGACCTGGGTTTGATCCCCGGTCCTGCATGCCTTGCCGGCTCCACCCCTAGGTCATGCTGAGCTGGTGACCCGAGTCCAGGCGTGGTGGCGCATGCCTGTAAGCGCAGCGGATCACTGCAAGTGTGAGATGTGTAGTGAGACCCTGTACCAAATACATAAATGAAAAAAATTAAAAATAAAAAGGCTCCCAAGTAAACCTCCATTTATTTTTATATAGGTAAGTAACTATAGATTCATATTGTTTTTTACCATATTTTACCATGGTTTTTTACTATTCTGCATCTTTTTTTAACTATCCATGTCTTATGTTTTTATGATGTGCATAAATATTTATCTTATGTTTTAAAACACTAATAGTAGTCCATATTAAGTATAGTATAAACCACTATTTTTAGAGTTTTTTATTTTTTAAAGAGAATTCAGAATTATAAAATAAAATTAGAAACCATACAGAATTTCACTAAACAAAATAATAGGAATTTGCCAATGAGTTGTATTGCATGTTATCTTCAAATTAGTTGTTTAGCTTACCAGATATAAACATGTAATATCGGGAAAAAGGGGAGGGTGTGGGGTGGGTGGGTGAGTATATAGCGCAGCATAAGTACCTCCCTGGCAAGCACAAGGTACTGAGTTCGGTTCCTGGTAGTGGTGGTGGGGAGTTATAAGAAATTAAAAAGGAGAAGAAAAAAAAAAAAAACCAAAACAGTAACTGCTCCTTTCAATAGACTAGCAGAAATCAGCAAGCTTGTTTTTAAAGATGTAGATGTTATCTACTTCTTTATATATACATAAATATTTATTTTTCTTTCTTTTGTTCTTTTTCTTATCCTTGTTTTTCCTTCCCTTTGAATAGATTCTTTCCCTTTCATAGCACCTATTGTACCTTTCAGATTTTATTTACTCTTTCAGGTTCTTACACTAATGCGACAATATGATGCTTGCACATGCTGGTCTCACTTCTGTCCTTTACCAGAATGGCCTTTTTTTTTTTTTTTTTTTTTTTTCCTGGCCAGCTCAGTCTACTCTGAGGGCAGGGCTGGCACAACATGTACCTGGGGTCGAACCTTGGTCCCCTGCACCTGCTTAAGCTTGCCTAAGCAGGTGCTGTAGACCACTGAGTTATCTTGCAGGCCCCACCAGGATGGTCTTTAGTTGTATCCATTTACCTATAAAAGCCTTGTGTTTATCTTTTTTTCATAGCTAAATAGTACTCCATTGTATAAAAATACAATACCTTTTTTATCTGTTCGTCTGTTGATAGATATCTGGGTTGTTTTCAAGATTTAACTATGACAAATTGTGCTGCTATAAATATGGATGCTCTATCACTGTGGTATGGATATTTTCAGTGCATTTAGAAAGATGCTCAGGAGGGGAATAGCTGGGTTTAATGGGACTTCCAATCCTAGCTTTTTGAGAAGTCGCCACGCTGATTTCCATAGTGGTTCTCCCATTCCACCCTCCCAGCAACAGTGGAGAAGGGTTCCTTTCTCCCCACTGCCCCTCAGCACTGGTATAAACCATTATTAGCTACTTCCTTACCAAAGATATTTTCCACCATGATGTGATGAATCCTACAGTCCAAATATATAAACTAGATAGGAGGAGAACTTGACCTGCACCCTCATTAGGCTGCTGAAACAGCATAGCAGTGCCCTGTCTCGTAGCTTGGCACATCATCCCTTTGTGCCTTGTGGAGATACTTTGTGCCTTAGTTCCTTTGTCTGTGAAATGGGAATAAAAATAACACTCATCTCATGAGGTCATGAGAAAGTTGAAGTGAGTTAATGCACATAAAGTGCTCTGAACAGCACTGGGCATGCGTGACAAGCACTGTGCTTGGGTCGTATCATAGTGGCCTCTTAGCATTGCCTTGGCTTTTGGCCTGTAGTATCCATCAGCTACTGAGCTGTTCTGCAAACATCACAGAACAGCAGTGTGCTTTACTGGGCCCTTTACTACAAGAATATCCTCATGGGTGATGTTTATCGTGTTTCGCAGTCTTTCTATGGAAACAAGCCACTTCTGTCTTGCCCAGGGATAGCAATGCCTCTTCTTGGTATTCAGTTTGCTTTTCTCATACTGATCTGGCATCTTTTAGCTGATCATGCTGCAGTTTTTCATGGGCTGTTAGAGTGGGTCTAGATTTTCCATCCATGTCTAGAACGTGTTAAGGACAGTCTGGCTACATTTTGTATGTCAGCTTATGATTTGTTTTGCCAGCTAGTGCAAAAGGCTGCACCTGTGGGTGATTGTATGTATAGACTTTTTTTTTTTTTTTTGGCTGAAGGGTTGTTCTAAATATGTAGCTAGCAGCTATTGTCCTTAGCAGCCATCAATGGCTCAGAGGAAAGAGAACCTACAGGGAAGCCACCTGAGTGGTCCCCTAGGGTCCCTCACTGGCAGGGCTGAGATTACAGGCTAGGCTTCGGTGACATAGCCACAGTGTGGAAGTCTAAAAGCTGCTAGACTATAGGGACCCCGGAGTACGCAGCATGCCTGGAGAGCACACATGGGTCAATAGTTTTATTGGGCCCAGAACATTATCCAAATGGGTTTTCCATGGAGAGCTTTAATTGATACACTTGAAGCAAGCAGGCATTAAGTCCAGGAGAGGACCAGAAGGTGTTCACTGTAAGTTTGCAGCAAATAGTCTGAATGATTTCTTTAAAGGAAGTGGTAAGACAGGAGGGAGCCCAGCCTGCTCAGCAGGAGAAACACTTCTGAGTTGTCTCTGGTTCCAGGTGGAGCCATTCTGGTGGAAGACAGCATTAGAAACTGGGTTAAGGGAGACTGAACTGTGCTTCTGATAGGGAAAGGTGAACTTATATTTAAAACTGAATGCCAAAGTCCTCACTACAGGGACATACTGCAGACCACTTGAGTACCGCACAAGGCCTGCGGTGGCTGGCTGGAGTCTTGTGGGATCTACCATTTGGGTTTCTCTCCTCCATTGCCCACTGGAGAAGTGGCACTGCCAGTGCTAGAAGGCTCCACACCCATGTTGACGGTGATCTCGTGTGCACAGTAGCAGTTGGATGCACACGTGTTTTGCTGTTCTTTTTGCCCACTAAAATCCACTATCATGAGTTCTTTAACAGGGGAATTTGACCTGCTGCTGAGAGTTGTTTTCCTATCTTTCTTTGCCAGGTTCTGAAAAAAATGTAGGTTATGACATATCCTTGGACGCTAGTCAGACAGTGAGGGCTCCTGGCATATTAATTAATGTAAAAACAATAAACTTGCATGGACAAAGAAGTCAGTTGTGATTGTGAAGGCCCTTTGTCTGTGGCATGAAAGCTCCCTTAACAATGGACAAGACAGCAGCTTGAGGGAGGCTGGACTACAAAGCAGTGGTGTCTCAGGAGGCACTGTGCACCATCTAGATGGTGCCTGGCACGGCAGTCCTGGGGAGGGCCCGCTGTGCTCCCAACAGCCAGCCAGTCTTCTCTCTTTAGGACTCGAGTGTGAAGGCCTCAGTTGCTATTTCTGCTTGAGGACCGAGAAGGGTTTGCTCCTTGTTGACTTCTTGGCAGTGCCTTGGGAAGGGGTGTAATGAGGCAAAGAGAAGGTATCTTTTCTCATGGCAAGAGAAGCTGAAATTTAGGGAAATGAGTTTGGGAGCTGGCAAGCCAACCCGGGGCCTCTCTGACTGGCTCATCTGCACAGTCGTTTACTACTGCAGGTAGCTGACACTTGCATCCTGAATATGGGAGCATGGGCATCAGTACAGAAGCCCAGAAGATGAGGGGAGTTCTTTCCTCATTTAGTAAGAAGATCTACTTTTCGGACCTCTAACCCTCTGGGGGGCAGCCTTCCATCCAGCGTGGAGGAAGCCAGAATTGTTACTGGGTCCAGCTTAGTGGCATTAGCAGCTCCTCCTCTCCCCCATGCCCATGTCTGCCAGACACATCCTAGAAAATGACAGCTCCTATCTTTATCTCAGGACATTTTATGTTCCGCCTGTCGTCTGCCATCTTGTACCCTCTCTCTTTTCTTCTGTAGTTTCTGGCTACTTTGCAGTTATTGTGTTTTTCTGTCTACTTAGTTCTTAGAGGAGCTCTGGCTGCTATTCAGATTCTTCTCTAGGTGCTTCGTTCTAGCTTACTTCTTTCACCGGGAGCACTACAGAAACACAGGCTGCAGCCTGACTGCCAAACACTTGTGAGAAGCGGGGCTGGGTGGGAAGGGTGGTCCAAGTAGATGAAGGGCCTCGTGCTTGACATCACCCCGCTCCTTCCTCCCTGTTACTGTGGTGTTCAGGATGGGCCTCCTTGCTATGAGTTGTGCCTTGACTCTGGAGAACCCTGGTGTGAAAATTAGGAGACACCAAGATCTCGCAGCAGATTTTCGTGTGTAGTTTGTTGGGGGAATAGTACCAGTTCCCTGGTCTCCTCAAAGAGCAGACCCTTCGTGCTGTGTTTCTAGTAAAACCAGACCCAGCATGTCCAGTCAAAGCAAGCCCTGCTGGTCTGGAGCTCTTTCAAGGCCCTCCCAGCCAAGGGTGAGGTCATCAGGAGTGGTTGCACCATCTTGCAAGGCACACCTTTCAATGGCATGTGGTCTCGTCCTCCTTGCAATGATTTTGAAATCTGGTTTCCTGTTCTGATGCCTAGTTTTTGCACACATAATCGGTGGAACTGTCTTCCCAAATTACATACTTGGTGCACTTCATTTGGAAGTTGATACTATTTCTCCATTATTCTAAGTGTATTCTCCCTACTCTTTAGTCCCAGGTAAATCACCATGGTAACGAAACCTATCAGGAACGCCTGGCACGTCTAGAAGGAGATAAAGAGTCTCTCATCTTACAGGTGAGTCCTTTGGGTGGGACACAGCTTTACCTACCATCTCCAGCTCGGTAGCTTCCATCAGTGGGAGGGAAGCACAGAGGAATTACTTTGTTGGAATTTTCTGACGTCAAAGTGTGTGTTTTTCAAACAAGCTTTTCTTGAAACAAAGCAGAAACAAAGCAGAACTAGAAGCATAACACAACCACATCCTTGGCTTTGGGGAGCTGTGAATTATTTATTTATTGTGCACTGCCCCTGCTCACTGGAAGCCTTGTTGCTAGGTGAATCATGGTGCGAAGAATGAACAATATGGGGCCCTGTCCTCCTCCAGGAACCCCGAGTCTTGGGCGGGAGATGAGATCTATCCTCGTGTCACTCATGAAACAGCCATAAGTGATAATGGGCCTAAGGGTGAACTGCCAGCATCAAGTCCAGAGAATCTGAAACTGGATCTACACTTGATGCCAAAGTCCCTGGAGCTGCTAGCGCGGACAAAGCCTCTGGTGACTCTTGCTTTGCTGAGAGGAACTCTAAAACCTGGCATGGAGAAAGCCAAAGAGACTTTGTCATTTTTGGAAGCCTGTGTTTTTCGACAGGATATGTAGTTGAGTGTGCTTGTTCCCCTTTGGTACTGGGAATTGAATCCGGGGTCTGTGCACTAGGATACATCTCCAGCCCTCACCCCCACCCAGTCAGGGTCTCCCTAAGTCATTTAAGTGCCTGGGCTGGGCTGGAATGGCTGCTTCAGCCTCCCAGAATGCTGGTATTAGAGGCATACAGCACCTCAGGTGGCTAAGTTAGGCCTTCTCACAGAAAGATTGATGCTGCAGTAGCTCTTTGCTGCGTTAGCTCTCAAGTGCCAAAATAAATTTATAATCACTTACACAAATCTACTATATATCAGATATTAATTAACATTTGGAGCATATAAAGATAAATATCCTAGTCTTAGCTCCTGCAGAAGCTCAGAGGGTGAGGAATAGGACTGGCGATGGGAGGTAAGGGAGCAGCCGGAGGCCAGACCCCTCCTGCCCTAGGATGAGGACTTCAGTTGGTGTCAGCGGGGGCAGGAGGTGGCAGCGTGGTTATTGTTTTTCCTTCTTAGCTTATTTATTCTACTTCTAAAATTTTATATTATAAATATTAAATTAACCAGTTAGAAACTTTAAAAATTCTGAAAGAATCTTAAATCACTTAAAGGAGAAGATTACCATTTTAATCTTTTCCTAGTGGCTTTTCCCTCTGCCCTGCTTCTATTTTAAACAGTTGAGCTCACACCGAATGTATAGTTCTGTACTCCAGCTTATTTTATTCAGTTCTTTGATTCTAAAATCATAAAATAATTGAGTACCATCAACTTGTCTGTCTGACCTAGTTTTACATGCCGGCGATACAGCTGTGTTGAATATGGACTAAATCTCTATTCTATTACTTAGGGACAGGAAAGAGGAGGAGGAGGAGGAGGTGATAGAAGTGGGAGGGAAGATGGTTTCCAACAGTGTTAAGTACTGTGGAGAAAAAGCCACATAAGGGCTGGTCTGAGACCCTCCCTAACCAGAGGGCCCAGGGAAGGAGCCACACCGATACCTGGCCAAGTGCTTTCTAGACACAGAAGGTGGCCCACCCAGCACACACTGCGGCAGGGCCAGGGGCGCGCTTAGTGTGTGGTAAAAACATCAAGGGACCATTGTGTCTGGAGTCTTGCTGTGAGAAGGGGGATGGGAACCGCTTAGAGAAGTAGCAGGGGCCAGCTTTTATAGCACAGATGTTTAGAGGGATGTGTAATTTGAAACGCCATCCCGACGACATGATTAATGAAAAAGTATCCGATTTAGAATTTTTGCAGCAAACAATATGAAATTCAAACTTTTGCAGCAGGACCTTTCATGACTGAAATAATACATTCCTATTTAGAGAGGATTACAGTTTAATAAAGAAGACCTAGATAATAATGCTGTCTTTCCCATCCAGGCTTTAAACAGAAAGAAAACTAAACTCCTGAGGAATCCCTATTGCAATAATCCTCAGGTCGGGAAGCTATTTACCAGCCAAGCTGAAGTTGGCCCTAGTGACTTCTGTTCTGCCTGGGGCTTGTGGACTGGCTCTTAGCTGCGCCCCTGGGCTCCCTCCCACTTCCTTTCTACAGTGGGCTGTGGCGCTGCTTAGGCAGATCCTGAGCACCATGTAGCTAGTTCATAAATTCCCATAACAGCTAAGCTAGACCGAATTAACTGGAACCTTTGATCAGAATGTTTTCCTGCGTCTATTTGTAGAACAGGACATGTAGCAAAATCTTTGTTTCCAAGATTAAAAACATTTTTTATCTTCATTATGATACAATTTCTTTATGGTAGGAAATTATATCTTTTTAAAAGATTTTCCCCCCTTTTTCTTAATCCCTAGCTCCAGTACCTAAGATTAGACCTAGCATGTAGTAGGGGCTCAAAACATACTCATTTTTGTTGAATGAAGGTCATGTTTGAAGGTCTTTATATATTTTGTTCCAATTTTCTGTAGTTCATTTATAATACTTAGGGCTAATATTGGGGCTCTCAGGGCCGCTGCAGCCCTGAATGTCTTTAATCCTACATGTAGCTACACTAGGAGCTCTTGCTAGGGACTTTATTCCTCAGGGTACTACCAGCCTGCGACCTCCAGGTATTGTGCAATATCTAGGTGTTAATCCTCATGATGGAATTAACCATAAAACATCCTCCCGTCCAGGAACTCTGGGTCCCAGGGAACAGAACCCCCCACCCTAATCTTACTCTTTTTAAGTGGAGTTAGTAGTTGAAAAGGCCAGGGCTGCTGCTGATAGTGCTGGGGACTGAACAGCACGCAATAAAAACACAAAAAGCTCTGTTTAAAATAAGCCTGGTCCGGCTGGGGAGATAGCTTGGCGGCATTAACACCTGCCCGGCAAAGCGCAAGGTCCTGAGTTTGATCCCCGGTATGGTATGCCGTGCCGGACGGAAACCAGATGTGGTGGCACATGCCTATAATCCCATCACTAGGGAGGCTGAAATAGGACAATCACTGCAAGTCCAAACTATATAACAAGACCCTATATCCTAAATGATAATAATATTTAAAAAAAAATTTTTTTTAAAGCCTTGTTGACAGAAGGGGTTGTTGGTTTAAAATTGAAATGATAGTACACTGTGCATCAACATCGGGATTGTTTCAGTTGTTCAGCGTCTGAGTGCATAGAAGGGAAGGCGTGAGGTAGCCACGCACATTCAGGTGCACTGCTTTTTTTTTTTTAATTTTGTATTTATGTGTGTGTGTGTGTGTGTGTGTGTGTGTGTGGCCAGCTCAGCCCACCAGGGGGCGGGGCGGGCTGGCATGTGGTGCTGGGGGATTGAACCGCTGTCCCTGTGCTTTGCTTAGCTTAGCCTGTTCTAAGTAGGTGCTTTAGACCACTGAGCCGTCTCACCAGGCCCAGGTGCACTGCTTTTTAAACCCAAATTTTGTAACCCTTAGAGTGTATTTAACCAATCATATATGAGCTCAGTTCTTTCATTCTATTTCGGGTTCAGAATTAATTTTGAATAATCCATATGTAAACAGCAATGTCTAACCTAACATGTTCTCAAGTTACCATCAGTTGATGTCTACTTTGTTGTTTTTTGTTTTGTTTTTTTGTGGCCAGGGATTGAACTCAGGATCTGTGCTTGCCAGGCAAGTGCTTATTCTACTGAGTTATCTCTCTGGCCCTGATGTCTGCTTTCAAGAAACGCTGCATTCCCTTTCTCCCTTTCTGCATTTTTCTTCTCTCTCTCTCTCTCTCTCTCTAATAATTTTATTGAGAAACAAATAGCAATGAGATTTGCTATCTCTTTAAAAGAGAAGAAGAAGAAGAAAAAAAAGAAAAACAACCTGGAGCAGTTTGCTAATGAAGGTTATGAAAACCTTCATAGTATGTATTTGGGGCATAATCAAATGACTTACTGTAATTGGCTATTTATTGATTAATATTTCCAAGAGAATCTCAGAGTTCCTCAGAGAAATGAACTTTTTCCTGCCGTGCCTGTGCAGAGTGACTCCTGTGTACCTGGGACTTGGAGTCGTGTTTTGGCCTGTGAAGCACAAAAACCTTTCTGGAGCCAAGTTTTGTCGGTGCTAATGCATGCCCTTTACGTCCCACATTCCGTAATTGCTTCAAAACGCTGGCCTGATAGGTGAGCAGTCCTCACGCTCCTATGAGAGCCGTAAGGCCATTGGTTCATTTCCATGGAGGTTTGGACTGCTCTTCCCCATGAGGTGGCAGAAGCCTGGCAAGCCAGGTGAGATATGCCTTGAGGCCCGCTGCCCTATTAGAGGAAAAGGTGTAGGAGTCCAGCCCAGAGGCAGTGCTCAGCTGTTGGGCGCTTTGTATTTGAGTCTAGCGAGGGCAGGAACGTGACTGAAGTCATTCAGGCGGTGGGTGAGACTCCCTAGTAGGAAGGTAAGAGTCCACTTGGAGTTGCTTTTTTCAGGGCCTTTTCCTCCAGCCTCCACTCGCCTAAAGGAACAGCTGTGCCTAGCATGTGCGCTTTCTCTGCTCACCTGCTGCTGAGGGACTTCACTGCCCTGGAGCACAGACCTTATTCCTCCATTGTTATTTCCTGCACCAGGTGAGTGTCCTCACGGACCAAGTGGAAGCCCAAGGAGAAAAGATTCGGGACCTGGAAGTGTGTCTGGAGGGGCACCAGGTGAAACTCAATGCTGCTGAAGGAATGCTCCAGCAGGTAAGGGCAGGCGGGGCGGAAGGGCACCGGGCTTGAGGCGGCTCTAACGTTAAAGTCCCTTCCTGGGCGCCTGCTCCCTTTCCTGTGCCACCTGGAGGTGGGGTTGGCTGCTCTGCGCTCAGTGTTTAGACAGCAGGTGAAACCCGCCTGAACACTGAGGCCGGGAAGGGCTGGCCCACGCCAAATAACCTGTTGAGCTGGTTAGACAGATTTGCGGCTTAGATAGATTTTTAGGCGGCACTTTCTCCAGCAGGGCACGCTGAGCTCTGCCACCTGTGTCACCTTCATCTTATCATGAGAACCACAGTTTGCACGCCAGTGGCATTTGGAGTAGAAAGTCAATTCATCAGCTCATTTTCTGCTGCTTTCCTGCTCTACCTTTGTAGTTTTATAAAAATAACATCTTAACATAGTCAACACATGTGAAAATTAGAAAAAAAAAAAAAACACCTGCCTTTCTAGCATTCAAATAATGTCCTCTCCTTGTTTGTTTTTGTATTGTTCTTATGCGTACTCATAATTTAAAAAGCTGTCGTTCCACAGGCATGCAATTTGGGCCTCGGATTTATATGCTCAATATCGTGTCGTTACTCTTTCCTTTTTAACGTTTTGCTGCGTTGTCATCTTTATTATTACTTCTGGTAGTTTTATTGTGTGTGAATATATCATAATTGCCTTAGCCATTCTTCCTCTGAATAGCTTTACGGTGCTGTAAATACTGTGAATGAACTTCAGTTATCATAAAGGAGTATTGCCTTTGTATCACATCTTTGTAGAATCTTTTGAGAAGCTAATTAAATTTTTAAAAATTAAGCCACTTAATAGGCTTTCTAGAGTTAAATTGTGGTTGCATTTTCAGGTGTTCTAAAAATGAAGCCAGGCCAAAAGTTCATACGTGTGCTTTAGAACTCTTGATGGGGCACTTGGCCCATAAAATTCCTCAGCAGTTATTTAAAGAATAAGAGATAGTCCCTTAAGTGAGTAGATTCAGTTAGACAGCTGCTAGTCATCTTCTACCCCAAAGCTCCACTTTTTGGCATTGTCATGACCAGCCTGAAGTTCAAATGTTTCTTGACAGTGTAGTGATGAACATAGGCTTTGCATTTCATCTTGGGTCTAAAGACAGAAATCTTAGTTCTAGGTGGGTGCTGTGCCACTGAGCTACATCCCTGGCCCAGAAATCTTAGTTCTAGTGTTTGTTAGTTTTGTTTGAGTGCATTTGAAAACCTTTCAAAAAGGTAAGTAAATATTTTTATGCATATTTCCTCATAAAGACTAATTTCAGTATCCCAGAGGTTGCTGTTAATTATCTTTGCATGACCGTTTAATAAGTTACCCCAGTCTTGGCACCATTTAATTTTCTGTTTAGATTGTATGGCATTTGTCTTGCTCATGATATTCCCTAAAGATATGAGTAGCAACAGAAGTTGTTCCTTTTTTTTAACTGAAGCTTTCTTTGGAAGGCCCAGGAAAAAAAACTAGCTGCTGGTGGTGGTGGTGGTGGTGGTGATGGTGGTGGTAGTGTGTGTGTGGGGTGGGTGACAGGGCACCTTAACTGAGAAGAAAGCATTTTCACAGAGTGCATACAACAACAGTCTAGATTATATTTTCAGGTCTACATGGAGTATGTTTTTGAGTTGGAAAGGATAAAGGACAAAGGTGATGGTATGTTCTAAAAAAATTTTAAGCTATCAGGAAGATTTGAACACAGAACCTGTGAGAAAACTGTCAGGAGGCTGATATTTCAGGAGGTGGGGCTTGGCATGTGACAGCAAGGCCAGGAGGTCAGAAAATGGTGGCATTGTCATGCCTGAGACATCTGTGCTCTTTCCCTGGCTTTTCTTCTTCATCGCTCTCCATCTCTTTGTGGAGTATTTCTACTCTACAGAGTAGAAATGTTGTCAGAGTCTTGGGGTCAAGGATTCTGATGTAGGTCCCCAGCGCCATTGTGAGGAGAGTGGTTTGTCTCTTGACCTTATCCCAATGATGTCATTTGAGACTTTTTAAACAGCCTTAAGCTCCATGATGTATCCTGTTTATTCTGAATCTTCTTTCTTGTGTGCTATGAGTAAGGTACCAGGCTTAGATGGCTTGTGTCAGAAAGGTGGATGTCATGACTTAGTATATTTTGGATTATGGTAGCTCTTTATTTGTCACTTCTAGTTTTAAGGATATTTTTTTCTTCTTCTTCTTTTTTTTTTTTTTTACATATTTAGTACAAGGTCTACAGGGACTCACTACATAGTTCAGACTCATAGTGATCCTCTTGTTTTTAGCCTCCTGAGTGCTGGAATTACAGGCACGCACCACCATGCCCAGTCTCAGTTGCCCTCTCAGTGTGCCCCGGGGGCTGGCACAGCACACTGGGGATTGAACCTCAGTTCCCACACCTGCCTAAGCAGGTGCTTTAGTCCACTGAGCTATTTGGTCAGCCCTAAGATCTTGCTGGGTTTCAACAAGTCATTTTTATGCTGGTTAATATCTGCTATGTCTTCTCAGTCTTTCAAGGGTAAAATTTCTTGACAAATTCTGAGTTCAAATCATAGGCCACATTTGAACCTCAGCTACCACCTTGATGGGCTTGGTAATGCCAGAGCTTGAGCTACTGGGGGTGTCAGATGCAGATCTCAGCCTTGGTGTATGTGCTGAGCGCTGCTGGAGGCTGTTTGTGAAGACACTTTGTGCGCCAGAACACCGACTCAGTGCCATCTAGACTTTAGAGTATGTGCGTGTCCTCATTACTGGAGCTAGGCAGAGACTTGCCCAATTTGGCTGAGGTATCCTGGGCTGCAGGGCTCTTCATTTCTGGTGGCAGCAACAAAAATGACTCATGACCTAATGGGAGAGAATGAAGGCAAACAATCGCCTCTTCCTGCCAGTCTGAGAAACCATTCCAGCTCTGTGTCAAGCCTGGTCTATTGCTGTGAACACAATCCTTTGCTTGTGTGCAGCAGGGGCTTCTGACTGGGAACACACACCACACTCTCCCTGGGCATGTTGCACCCAAAGGCTCTGAACATTCAGGGTGTCTTGTCGCAGGAGGCACCTGCAGTTCAACTCCAGTTAACTGTGTTTGTAGCTCTAGTACTGCTAGACAGTCTCATTTTCATAGGGGCTAGAAATCTAGAAGTAAAGATTTTACATTTCTTTCTGATCTTGGTAATAAATTTAAATTTTTAAATACTACCATGTGTGTCACAGAATACGTATCTATTGGGCAAGCCTGGCCCATGTTCCTCTAATCCACAACTTCTAGTCTAGACTCTGCCCCCTGCACTGAAGGAAGAGCACCAGGAGACTTGAAAAATCTCTAACCTGATGAGCATAGCCCCAACTTTGTGCTTTAGTGGCCAAAAGGCCACCAAGCTGTGTCTCCCCTTAGCCGTTCTCCTGACCAGTGTAACACTCCCTGCACAAGCCCACAGGAGGGAGTTAGTCTTGGGCCAGGTATCCCTTGGCCTGGCCAAGTCCAGCCCAAGTGCTGATCTCATAGCTCGGAGCTTATTAGTCTACACATGATCTTACCCAGCCTCCAGAAGGAAAGAACCTGAAGACCCCTCTTGGGGTTAGACAGCCAAATTGGAACCAAGCAGAGTCAGCACAGGGGCTGGTGTACATTCAGCATGTAGATTGTGAACACCGCTGAGGGCAACTGCAAACTGTTTCTTGTTTGCAGCCCTGTAGTGGATATAGGAGGGGAGGGGGCAGCCTCTCAGGATTGCCTGTGGGAGCATCTTCTCGGATTATGGACTCGGACACATTGAAAGCATGTGCCTTTCCCAGGAGACCTTCCTCATTATGAAGAGTCATTTCTCAGGAAATGTGGAAGGGAATGTTTAAGAAGGGTGTAGCCTGAGGCCGTTTCTGCCAGCCTGACGTAGTCTGGGCAGCATCTCACAGCGTGCAGTTTTACTGTGTGATCTTTAAGCAGATCTGTCCAGCTGTACACAGAGGCCATTGGTACCTGAAGCCCAGAATTACACTCCAGCAATGCAGGTGTGGGCCAGCGACCTCTTCATGCGTGGCTCAGACCACGCCAGCACCAGCATCTCTGGGAGAAGGTCCTGGATCAGTTGGTATATTAGAGAGCCTGGTGGGTTTTCATAAGTGACCTACCTGGGCTCTCTGGAGCCTGATAGGTCTCTCTAAAGATGAGGTTCTCTGTCTGTGATCACTGAGCCCCTCCAGAGGGTGCTGAAGTCATGGGAGAAGCTGGTGGTACTCAGCAGATCCGAGTTTCTGCACTGGCCAGCCACATGGGACACTTTCCAGACACTGGCCATTTACAGATGTGGTCAACATCAAGATCAGAAACTGTGTTCAGAGTTCAAAGGAAGGTAGGATGAGGGAGGGGAGGATGCGGGGAGAGGAACAAAGGGCACTGACTTCCCTTTCTTCATGGGGACACCAACCTGCTCTAGGAAATCCTGGATAGCATAGACTCTGTTCGAACTTCCCACCTGGCCTGCAGCTTCACAGTTGGGTAACTGAAGTTCTGGCTGACTTTTAGGTAAGGGGTGTAGAGTGATAAATGTGGGTGGTTGGGCGTCACTGGACATGAGCTTCTGTAGGTGGCCCACTGGCTGTTGACCTGGGAAGGTCAACACACCAAGTTTTCTTACTCATAGACCATAAGGATGTCAACATGGGCTCAATATTACTCTTTACCCCTGCTAGAGTTGCAAAATTATTCCAGTTGCATTTAAAACAAACCATCACACTTGACCATTGTAAGTCAGTACACTGATTAATAGGCTATGTGGCCTGAGGCAGAGGTCTAGTGACTAGCTGATAACAGAAGAGATGTCTTGTCTCGAAGAGAACATAAGAGAACCACGGCACATGATCCAGCAGGAGCACAGGTCTGAGGAGACAAGACACTGAGTCATGAGAAGAATCCAGGCATTTCCCGAACATTCCCAGAGACTCCCTCGGGGAGATTTATGCAGCCCAAATAGCTAGTTTCTTCAAGCTTAACTTATTTGATGTTGAGTCTCTAG